TGCCTGAGCATGTAGAATGGATGAGACTTCATTTAAGCATGCAAAAGGGAAAAGTGAAGCTTCCTTCTGGAGGAATAAATCAGTGTTACTCATTCTTATGAGTTAGATACTTAATTCTGTTGACCTGACAGATACTAAAACATAGAATTGACTCCAGGGGGTCCAAAGCAGTGAAAGTCTGTGCGCCTGATGAGTTATAAGGCCTGGTGTTCAATTTCCTGCATAGTCTTCTGAGCAACAGGTAAACCCATCAGTTCTGATTGGGGTGACTGTGGCATATGGAAATACAATTTTCTTATTTAGGTGTGTTGCCTTTCAAAAGGACAATCTGTGTATTGAAGAATAAAGTCATCACAGTTAAAACAGGCAAATAGAATACAAAGTTACTTTTAGTTGTCCAAAATAAAAATGTTGCTAACCAAATATATTTGTAAAGCAAAACTATTAAAGAATTAGGAACTCAATATCTATGAATATTAAAAATATATTTTGGAATCCAGACATGGAAATGAATACAAAACTAAAGAGGAAAAATACATAACTGCTGCTGTTAGTATTGCCTATCAACTATGATAATCATTTTATTTTAAAAGATGTTTATTAGTGATCTCTATTAGTCTTATCTATGTGCAAGATAGTTATCATAGATACCCATAGTGAATATTTCTGATGTTTTTCATTCAACTCTTTATAGATCCATATCCCATCCACTGTCTGTTCCTATCTTCCTGTCTGAAAAACTCCATATACCATTTTTTGTGTAGTGCAAGTCTCCTGGTGATGAATTCCTTCAACTTTTTTTATGTCTTTAAAAAGTCTTCATTATCCCTTCATTATTAAAAGATATTTTTGCTGGGTATAGAATTTTAGGTTGCTGGTTTTCTTTAAGTATTTAAAAGATGTTGCTCTTTTATCTTGTAGCTCGTATTGTTTCTGATGTGTGTTATCTTTTTAAGCTTTTTTCCTTTGGCTGATTTTAAGATTTTTTCTTTCTCACTGGTTTTAAGCAATTTGGTGTTATTTCTTTTTATGGTTTTCTTTTGTGCTTGGATATGTTGAACTTCCTGGCCCTAGGGGCTTTTTCTCCCCCCATCAAATTTGGAATATTTTATGCCATATTTCTTCAAATATTTTTTTTTAACACCTCTCCTTTGGAGATGCCAATTAGGTGTATATAAGTTGTCCCATAGCTCAATAATGTTCCATTTGTAATTTTTTACTATATTTTCTCTTTGTGTTGTTTCATTTTAAGTACTTTATAAATTGCTTTAACTATAAGCGTTAATCTCATTCAGTGTACTTTTTAAAAAATTTCATACATTGTATCTTTTGTCTCTAGAAGTTTGATTTGAATCTTTCTTATATATGGCAAGTCTCATTTTCAGTGTTTTCTCTAGCTTTTTAAGCATTTGGAATACAGGTATAGTAATTGTTTTAATTTTCTTGTCTGCAGTCTCTCTCTAATTCCAGGATTTGGTTCTATATAATTCTGTCATCTGTGTAATTTTCAGAGTTTAGTTCTATGGTGTTATGTTGTTCTTCATTATGAGTAGTATTTTCTTCTGTCTTCACATGCCTCATAACTTTCGTCAGTAATTGATTGGCTCTCAGTCATTATGAGTTTTACTTTGTTTGATGCCGGATATTTTCATATTTTTATAGTGATATTCTTGAGGTTTTTTTCTGTTATATAATTACATGGAAATATTTTGGTCCTTCAGAGGCTTGCTTTTAAGCTTTGTTAGGTGAGATCTTAGCATTGTTTAATCTTGGATTAAGTATTTCCTCCTATTAAGACAATATCCTGTGTTAACTGTCCTCAGTGCCTTGTGAATGCCAAGCTTTTCCCCTCTGACTGAAGGGAACAGGAGCTATTCCTGCCCTGTGTGAGCTTTGGGAATTGTTCCCTGTAATGCATAGTTTCTTAACCTTGGAGCTATTGACATTATGGAGCTTGAAAATTATTGGGGGGAGGGGGTGTGGAGGGCAGGGAACTGCCGTGTATGCTGTCAAATGTTTAGGAGCATCCCTGGCCTCAAACTGGATGGTAGTAGCATCCTCCACACTGTGACAACCCAAAATGTCTCCAGACATTGCCAAATGGCTATTGGGGAGTAAAGTTGTTCTCAGCTGATAACCACTGCTCTAATCCTTTCTGGTAGTTTTTTTGTATGCATGTGCTTTGGCTGAGGACTCAAAGGGGGACCTCCTGCAGATCTCCAGAGCCCATGCCTCTCACCATCTTCTCTTTCATACTCTCTCCTGAGAACTTTAGTTCCTTGACCTCCCAGCATTCCTCACTGTGTTGTCTCAACTTACGGAGACCAGTGGGTTCTGCCTGGGTACCTTCTCCCCCTACATGGCCAGGAAACTCTGGCCTCACAAGGCTCACATTTGTTTCCTGTCTCTCAGTGATCACTGTCCTTAATTGTCTGATGTCCAGTGTCTTCCCAAACCATTGTGCATCTTTTTGATTGTTGTTTTTTTGTTTTTTTAAGTTTTCTGTTTTCTACTTTTTTCAAGTGGGATCCCTATTAACTTCATCTTGGCTCTCATCCTCATTCCTGAATGGTATTTTTGCTGAATACACAATTCTGGGCTGGCTGTTATTTATGTATTTATTTTTTAAAGCACTTACAAAGGTATTTAACTGGCTTCTGGTTTCCATTGTGGCTAATCACTCAGCTGTCAGTCATATTTTTTTTCTGATATTTTTAAGATCCTCCTGTTTTTGGTGTTCTGTAGTTTCACTACGATATGTATCTAATCTTGGATTTCTTTTTATTGTTCCTGCTTCCTAATGCATATATTGGGTTTCCTGAATCTTCAGACTCAGTCTCTCATCAGTTGTCAAAAATTTACAGCTATTATCTCTTCAAATATTTGTTCATCTTGAGGCTGTTCATTCCTTTGCTCTGAAACTCTGAAACTGGATGGTAGATACAAAAAGCGACATTTGTGGCATATGTAACTAACAAAGGGTTGGGTCCAGTATATTATAAAGAATTCTTACATATCAATAAGAAAAAGACAGAATAGAAAACTGTGTGAGGATATTCAGCAGGCATCTCCCAAAAAAAGCTATCATTGGTTATAAGAAATATGAAATTTCAATCACAAGGAGATACCACTGCCAGATTGAAACTAGTAATGTAAAATGTTGGGGATCATGGGATATAACTAGAACTCACGGAAGCTGTTGGTAGGAGTAGAACTGGGACAACCACTTTGAAAAATTGTTCATCTTGTATCTAGTAATGTTGAATATACTTAGAAACCCACAACCCAGACTTTTCTCTCTTAAATATACTTGACCTTTGAACAATGCAGGGATTAGGGTCACTGACTCCCTGCCTGGTTAGAAATTTGTGTATAAGGAGGGCACGTGTTGTGATGAGCACTGGGTGTTATACACAACTAATGAATCATTGAATACTACATCAGAAACTAATGATGTACTATATGTTGGCTAACCAAACATAATTTAAAAAAAAAAAAGAAATTTGTGTATAACTTTTGGCTCCCCAAAACTTAACTACAAATAGCCAACTGTTGACTGGAAGCCTTACCAATAGCAAATAGTTGATAACACATATTTTGTATGTTATGTGTATTATATACTGTGCTCTTCCAATAAAGTATATGAGATAAAAGAAAATGTTAAGAAAATTATTAGGAAAAGAAAATACATTTATAAGACTGTGTTGTATTTTTCAAAAAATACCTGGATACAAATGGACTCGTGCTGTTCAAACCCAAGTTGTTCAACAGCCAACTGTACTTAACCCCAAGTGTGTGTGTGTGTGTGTGTGTGCACATGCGTGCACGCATGCGCATTAGAAGATGAGAAATATTTATAGCAGCACTATTTATAATAGCCAAGAACTGAAAACATCCTAAATGTTCCTCAAAGGCATAGTGGGCAAAGAAACTGTGAGATATTCATATCTTGGAAAAAAGACCACAGGTGAATGCAGCTGGACCATTGAGAGGCTATTACAGTTCTCCAGGTAAAACACGACAACATCGATGTCTCTGAACTTTTCCTGTAAAAATGGTCTGTTGCTCCTACTCCATTTTGCTCTCGTAGCATGATGGCAGCGATGGACAACACATCCATGAATGAAGACTGGGTGACAGGAGCATTTCCTTTACAAAAACAGGTGGCATCATTTGCCAGCCTCTGGTCTAGAGCTGAGAGAAGACAACACATTTAGGATATATTTTGCAAGTAGATTTAACAGGATATGGATTGGGTGTTGAGGAGTGTACGGTGGAGAAGAGATTCGTTTCAAGGATGATTTCTAGGCTTCTGGCTAGAATAATTTACAGACTGGTGGTAGTGATTAGGGAACAAATGAGTTAAAAGTTTAAAACCCACTCTCCTAAAATAGTAGTGACATGTCAAGGTTTGAGAGTTATTTTGGTCATTGGTCTATAATGACAATGTGACAGTGTTTTGTGGAGATTTACCACCATGACAGTCATGACTAGAAAAACTTTCACTATACACAAATTAGTTATCTTATTACACAAAAAAATGAAAAGGTGAGAAAACAAGAAAAGAACGAAAGTTAGTCATTATTGGTCAGTTTTTTTGTGTGTTTTCTGCTAACAGGAGGAAGGGAAAAATACAGTTCTCTCAGACTCCTACTGGCTGATCAACAATGTACCTAGAGCCTCATTTTCTAGTAAAAGTAATAACCCCCACCCCATCCCCAGCTGCCACCCTTATAATGATGAACCAGAAAATATACAGGTGAGAGGACTTTTATGCTGATTCTTGTCCTACATTGGTGGCATTGGGGATGGGGATGGCAGCTAAATAGTGCCGCCTTCTCCTGTCCTACATATTCCCGTTTCTAAGATCCTCCTTTTCATGTAGTTGCCTATCACCATTGTTACGTCAAAATTATAACACCGATTTGATTTTCTTTATAGTTGGATGTGCTTGGGATTTTGTATTTGATTAATTTTTTTCCAAATGTTGACTTTGATAGGCTTTGCTCTCTGTACATGATACTGTGGCTCAGAAGAATTACGATCCTGTATTACCGCCAATGCCTGATGATATTGACGATGAAGAAGACTCCGTAAAAATCATTCGTCTGGTCAAAAATAGAGAACCACTGGTGAGTTGTGGTTTACACTTTGTGCTCAGATGTGAGTAGCTATCATGATAAAACCAAATCTTATGGGGACATACCATTTATTCCTCTCTTTGAAACATAATTTTTCTGTGTTGTCAAACTTTAGAGTGTTCATGTCTAAAAAATAATATTTAGAAAAATGAAAAAAAAGCTAAATAAAACGACAAGCATTCTCTTGGTTATACATAGCAATAATTTGTACGATGTGACATTGACGTTTATAAAAGAAAGTATAACATGTGCCAGTCACAGCTGATTTAAGATTAAATGGTGCAACTAAAAATAATTGCTTATGGTTTTTCTAGAAAGCTGATTTATTTTAAAGTAATGAGGAGAAGCTTACCAAATATCTGTTATTTCAAAATGTAAATGTACCCATTTATTTTAGCACCAGAATTTATACAATGTCAGATTACATCAAGCGATTTACGGTGGGCAGAATGATGGCCAGTGATGTCATGTCCTAATCTTCAGAGCCTGTGAGATATTACTTTAAATAGCAAAGGGACTTGTCATGATTTGGTAAGAGTCTTGAGATGGGAAGATTATCCTGGTTTAGATGGTGGATCTAGTGTCTTCACAAGGGTTTTTACTAAAGTAGAAAGAGGAGGCAGGGAGTCAGAGTTGCAAAAGGAGACGTGATGATTAAAGCAAAGGTTGATGTTGCCATGAGCCAAGGAATGCCAGAAGTTTCTAGAAACTGGAAAAAGCTCAAGGATCAGATTCTCTCCTAGATCCTCCAGAAGGAACACAGCCCTGCTGACACCTTGATTTTAGCCCCAGGACACGCATTTTGACCCTCCGACTTCCAGAACTGTAAGATAATAAATTTGTGTTGTTTTAAGTCACTACCTTTGTGTGGCGCATTTGTCTCAGCAATAAGATACGAGTACAGAGTATATCCATATTTTGATGAAACTACATTCAGAAGAAAAATAGATTTTATCATCTAGCAGTTGATTTTAAATGTGTTGTGGCTCATTTTGTCTACTTAAGACATTTTTGTGTCCTTAAAGCAAGTATCAGTGGATAATGCAATATTTGCTGGGCATTATGTGAGGTACTTTACATACATTATATTTAATCCTCATAGTACGTGTCTTTTTCCATTTTTATAGACTAGGAAATGAATGTACAAAGAAGCAAAGCAACTTACCTAAGTATCACAGGTAATGAGGGGTAGAACTAAGGTCCAAATTTGGCTTTTTACCTTCTAATACTAGTTTTTTCTTCTATACCATATTGGGTCTTTATACTTTTACCTTTTAGGTGGTTTTCATATTTTGCTTTATTTAAGGACAACTTTGGCACCTTGATAAATACATTGGACACTCTTGCCCAGAAAAATACACAAATAAATTTGCATGTAATATAAGGGAATTTTTGAGCCCCTGAAGCTCATCCGTAGATATCCTAGGACTCCCTGTATTCCTGGCTAAGATTGTTTAATGTAGATTATGAATTTATGCCTTTCATCTGTGGTTATAAACTCGTACTGGTAACCTAAATATCTCTTGGTATTTATTATGAAGGTGACATACTTAGTAAGGCTAGACGGTATGCAGTTGGGATGTAGAAAGGTGTATCTCAGGGCCTATTGCCATAAAGTGACTCCTTCTTGGTGGCTTCTGTGCATCCCTCAGTAAGAAATACGTTTTCTGTTTTGACAAATTCAGGCCCTTAGATAATCGAAAGGCTGACCATCTTGAGGAGTTCAGTAATTCCCTAGTAATCATTTCTTTGATCAGTCATAGTTTTCCCAGGGGTGGCAAGGTTTTGGGTGTGTTGGTTTGGTGAGCTAACATTTAAACCACCATCAGCGACATGTAAGTCCTGAGCCTCTCCTGATCAAATAAGATCTTCAGATATACAGTGCAAGAGGAGGGGAAGCACAAAATACCCCAGGATGTTATTTAGGGGGGCAGAAGTACTATACGTTCAGTTAGCAAGAATAGAAGGAAATGCATGGGAATAAAAATTTCAAGTTTCCCTACGGTTATATGGAGCTTGTGGGGCTATGCAGGTGCTAAGAGGCTAGAAATTGGTTGAATGATTAGGGTGAGGAGCTTGGGTGGCTCCGTCAGTTGAGTATCTAACTTTTGATTTTGGGGTCATATTCTCAGAGTTGTGGAGCTTGCTTGGGATTCTCTCTCTCTCTCCCTCTCTTCCTCTGCCCCCCCTAATTAATTAATTAAAATAAGTTTAAAAATTATTTCTCTTAAGCATGAGAATGTTTTCCAGATTTGTAACATTTGTATATTCTGGGGATATCCTAAATATTTCTTGGAATTGTTCAGTTTTCTTATTCCTGTACCATGGTATAATTTGGCAATTTTGTATGTACTTGGTAGCATTTTCCTTTCTACTTCCCCTTAAATGATGAAATTTAAAATTTTTAATTTTAAATTAAATTTTTAATTCCATTGCATTTTTATCCATTATTTTTATTCTTCTTTTTGCCTGTTTTTACATGAATTGAAAAAATTTTTCTGTTTCTCCATTATTTAAAAGTAAATTAATAATAAAAGTTTTTTCCCCCCAAATTTATGCAATTAACTTCTTTAAACTCTAGGTTTATTTTTTTATACTAATATTCCATGTATAAGGCAATTTCAAGCAATTTCAAGGACTTTTAAGTTATCTTACTTTAAAAAATTATTTTAGTCACTGGTCCTTTGTCTTCCTAGTGAGCCACAATTTGCATGTTTTTTTGTTCAAGGAGCTGTATTGAAAAAAATAAAAATAAAAACTTCAAATAGAAAACAACATCTACATGGAATGAAGAAATCCCCCAAATTATTTGTTATGATTCCTGAGAAAAGTATTTAGATTTCAGATGTCATTTCAACCTTGGAATATGAAATCAGGGAAGGCGAATTACTTGTCTTGAATATTAGTTTGACAGTTATTGTAAAGTAGGAGTATTGGATGAATAAACTTAAAGTTTAAAAAATGAACTAGTCAGAAAAGTAGAAAATAGTCATTTTCAACAAGCTTGTCATTTTACATTTGTCAAATGTCACTTGTCATTTTGGAGAGGTTATTGGAAAAAGCCACAACCACCAAAGGGGTAGGGGGTGGGGAGGGAGAAGCAGAAACTGGGAGAAGATTAAGTCTGAGGCATCCTTAGGAGAATGAATCCAAGGGGTTAAGAATCAAATAGTTAAGATGAGGAAAGCCAAGCTGAAATAAAATTCTAGTGATTGGATGGTCAGTAAATTTTCGGCAAATGATTCAGGAGGAAAGGCCAAAAGATTTAGCAGTCAATGGGCTAGTTTATCAGTGTTACTTAAGCATGTGATTTTGGGGGCACGTGGGTGGCTCAGCTGGTTAAGCATCTGACTTGATTTCAGCTCAGGTCATGGTCTCGGGGTCCTGGGATCGTGCCCCACATCGGCTCTGTGCTTGGGAGGGAGTTTGCTTGAGGAATCTCTCCTTCTCCCTCTGCCCCTCCCCCACACACTCACTCCTGCCACGCACTCACTCTCTCTCAAATAAATAACCTTTTTTTAAAAAATGTAATTTTGTGTGTTAGACTGAGTTATAATGCAGTGCAATAAATGCCAAGCTTGCATTAGATGACCTAAGTGGGAGGCATTATGCTGTCACTTATTTGCTCTATATCCTTATAGGAACAAGTCACTTAGCCTCTCAGCCTGAGGCTCCTTATTAGATAGTCAGGAGATATGCCTCTTCAAGAGTGTTTTGAATATCAACTAGTATAATGTATTTGAAATGCTCTGTAAGTTTTTATGCATTATGCACGCATTATATCAGTGTTACACAGAATGATGAGAAGGTAGGAGCTCTAGATGACAGTTGTTGAAGGAGAGGACCATTTCCAGGAAAAAGAGTCCGTGAACACAGATCATGTAGATAATTTGCCATGGAAAGGTGAGGGGGTGATAATTTGAGGGAAGGGATGATGAATGAACTGAGAGAAGGAGAGTTTAAAAACACTGGTCAGGATGCAGGGAGCAGAGTTATCCTCCCTTCCTGTGAATATGGAATAATTTGTAACTGTTTTATCCAGAAATAATGAATAATAAATATTAATTTTTAGGCAGGCTTAAGAAAATGACCTTCTATTAGTGAGTGAGTGGATTATAATCCCGATTTTCAGTTTCTGGCATGGGTTGTCCTTGATTCTTTTAGAACGGTGGTGCTCAAACCTTTTTTTTAGATTTTTTTTAGATGTCTCCGATGTTCTTGATGCAAATGTTTGGTAGATGATACTTGAAACCATTTTGATTTGAAACCATTTTGATTTCAAAGGTTCAACCTGAAATCACCTGTGCTACCAGCTGAAGGGGAAGGTCCTAGAATATTGGCAGTATTGGAGGAGATGCAATTTTTATGTAGGACATTGTGATAGCTCAGTCTCAGCAGTCCTCTTTTGTAAACCATTTTACAGCAGTAACAAGACAGACACATTCAAGCAGAATTTTAACTTCTCAATCTAACTTGAAGTTCTCTATATTCTATATTTTGTCAAAATTACATAGAATAATGGGATGCCTGCGTGGCTCAGTTGGTTGAGCATCCAACTCTTGACTTCGGCCCAGGTCATGATTTCAGGGTCGTGAGACTGAGCCCTGTGTAGGGCTCTGTGCTGAGTGTGGAGCCTGCTTGAGATTGTCTCTCTCCCTCTCCCTCCCTCCCTCTCTCTCTCTCTCAAAAATCACATAGAATAAATTCAGAATATATAAGAAAATATGTACTAAAACATTAGATACAATTTTAATTCATTTTGCCTTTGCCACCTGTGCCATTGGACTGTAGACTTTTGGATAATATGACATGTAATGTGCTCTGTTTTATTGAGTTTTGATCTTATTTTCATGCAAGTACATTCCACTAGGAATACCTCAAGGAATTGTGATAATGGGGGTTTGGAAAGCAATATGGAAATAGAAATCTTCAAGAATGAAGGGATCAAAATGAAGATAGAGTCAAATGCTGGTATCATGTAGAAACAGAGA